AAAACCATGCATGTGCATTGCCTTATTAGAATGACGTTCCACATTATGTCAAAACGGTTGAAAACACCTGAGCTCGCACCCCCCGCAGTTCGATATTCAAACTATTTTCTAACTCTTCTATGTCAAACCGTAGCTCGACTTTGGCAGGGAGGGGGCCAATATTGGTGGCAAAATCAGAATCACCTACTCAGTTTGGAGTCATCATAAGGTAGAAAACGAATCCTCTGTACCCGCCAACTTGATCCATGTCAAGCTGAGATGGACATACTATATCAATCGACCTGAGGAATCCGACTTCATGTTCGACCACCGACCTAAGGGCCTAATAGCTGTAACCGCTGGTCGAAACGGCTCCAACGACTTTGTCTCTCTCGCCTGCCTATAAAAGGGACATTTCGCCTCATGACTCAGGTACGCAATTCCTCTGAGAACGATTTGATATAACTCGAGCTCACACTAACTTGAGCGTCGAAGTATTTGTTCCTCATGCAGGTTTCATCAAAATCGAGCCCCGTAGCTCGTTCCTGTTAGCTCGTGAACTGACTGTGAGTTCGGCAGAAAAACAACATCGACAAAGAAGATTAAATATACGTTATAAAGTTTCAAAGATTAAATAATTTAATTTAACCGTTCTCAAAAAAAAATTAATTTAACATTTTATTTTATTTATAAACAATCAATGGATCTTTCGAAAAAAAAAATCAATGGCAGAATTGTTAGCCGCCTGCAACCACATTAATCATGATCCAATAATAATTTTCTCAAAAAAAAAAAAAAAGCAACCATTTATTTGTATTAACGTGAAAGAAAATTATTGTTTGAATAAATGAAAATAATGGCGGCGCGTGGCGGCGCGTGGCGGTGTGCGTTATTTGGCTTTTTTATGTTTCTCTTCGGTGCCGATATAACCTAGGTCGGTGGCACTAATTAGGGACTATTTAAAGTATCTAATTACAGATTTTTTCTAAAAATAGATTAAATTATAAAATTAGTCCCTGTAATTTTAAGTATTTCTATTTTGTCAAATGTAGTTTATACTTAATTTACTTTGGTTACTTATAATTTAAAAAAGTTTAAATTTAATCCTCACCAAGTTTCAAATTGATTCTTGTAATTTTAAAAGTTTCAATTTTGATTAAACCTCACAAAATTCCAACTCTCGTTCTTTAGATAGTCAAGCTGTTATTGGCCAAGTGTATCATTTACGATCATTTAGGATAGTGGTAGCTCTATTCGGCTCTAAAATCTAATTAAATTAAGTAATATATTTAACAAAATAAAATATGAGCTCGTTTTCACGTTTTAATATAATAATGACTTAAAGATTAATTGTGAGGGTTGACTAAATCATATGAACCAAATTGAAACTAATGTCAAATTATATGGATTGAACTAAAACTTTTACAATTATAAATACCAAATTGAAATTATATCTGAATTATTAGGATCAAATTTGTAACCATTTTGAACTCATTGAATTGAGTTGAGTTAGTTCATAGACCATACTTATATTTAATAGATAAAAACTCGAATTTAGTACGAGTTCGATAAATATTTATTTAGATTTTTTAAATTTTCCATTGCTTTCATCAAAACATTTTCTTATTAAAATTGTTGTTGACTCGCTGATTTTAATCCAATATTTGAAAAATAATCAAATAGATGTTGGAGGAATTCATAATTTTATTATTTCGCAACAAGAAAATTTTAATAAATAATTATAATTAAGTTCAAATATTTCATGGTTAGTTGGTTGGAATCATCATCTAACTATAACAATTTAAATTTGATAAATTTATCCATAAATCAGATTATGTCTAAAATTTTCTTTTAATTATGTCTCCAAATGTTCTATTCAATTATTAAAAATTTTGGTCAAATTTATCTTCGAATTATATTAATCAAATATATTAAGTTTGTAAAATATATAATCCTAATAATTTAATAGAGTAAAAAAATAAAAAAATAAAAAATCTCCCAACCAATCTAGTTCATTAAAACTTTTAATGCCCATTTATTTCCCATTAAGTGAATTTGGAGATGGATATTATAATAGAATGATATGCTGTAAAAAAAAGTCGAATTGAAATATATTTTTCTATTTTAAAAGTGGAAAACTCATCAACCGAATAATTAATCAGAAAAATTTGTAGAAGGAAAAAAAAACAACAGAAAACATAAATAGTATTTTGTTGTTTTCCTTTGGTATTTTCTGAATTATTTTTTCACATTCAATTTTCCATGGTTTTAAAGTGTGATTTAATTGAGAAAGAAAATTATTTTTACTCATGAATTCTAACTTTAACCAAAAAAAAAAAAACCCTACAAAATGCTCAAAAGTGGCTAATTTAGTCTAAATCAAGTTCGCATAGAAATATATTTGATTAATGCACGAACATTAAGTAACGCTGTCTAAATTTACAATTATTTTCTAAAAGCTCTAATATCATTTTTGAACGTCAAAGCGTCAACAATAATTGACATATATCTACAACAAAGAGGTTATGGGTTCGATCCCCACTCCCACATGTTGTATTAAAAAAAATATATATCATTTTTGAATTGTATCAATCTGTACTAAATACGTTTCATAATCCATTGGACACATATCATAATATTTTTTTTAACATATTTTAAACGAATAATTTATTAAAAGGTAAAAGTTACAGTACTTTTGAAGTTCAAGATAAAAATTGCAACATTAACTTTTTAAGATATAATTAGATGAGATTGAAAGTTTACAAGTTAAAATTGGTGTTTTCCTTTTAATTTAAATGTGTTGCGACTTAAAAGCATGTAAATAAAAAAAAGTCAATAATTAAATTACAGCAATCAAATAAGTATATATTTTTGAATTAATTCTTACAATTAAACAACATAAAATAGTTTTATAATATTGGTCTGCGAACAATTTTATTAAAAAAATACATCAAAGCAAACACGTAATTTTTAATTGTCATTTTCTCCATCTATTAAAAAAAAAGATATTTATCTCCGAATTTTTTAAAATTTAGTTGTTAATATCTATTATTTGTACTAACCAAATAAATTATACATATTTCTCTGCAGCTAAGGGAGCGTGGCAGTGGAAAGGTATTAATAAAAAATTTTTTTTTAATTTAAATTGAAACTATTGCAACCGTCAAATCATTTTAAAAAACCTTTTATTTATTCACCTTTTGAGTTCAAAAAATTTAGTTGGTAATTACTTGGGTTAAATATTGGATGATAATTTAATGAAAAAAATTATTAATATAACATTATTTTCATTTATGTCTCTTCCATCTCAATGGGAAAGTAAATTTGATAGAAAAAACTTAATTTCGTGATATTTTATAAGGCTGAATCAGTTCGATTAATTTAACTATTAAATTTTATAAAAATAATATAAAATAATTAATTGGTCGAATTTGGATCACTGTATTAAGTTTATGTCTACGTATCGATATTTTTATATGTCAATGCATTCAACGTTACTACAAAGGTTAATCATTGTCTCCATAATATATATACAAATTTTGATAAAATAAATAAAATATCAATAAAATGAAACTGACGGTAATGTTAATATTAATAACTTAAACGTCATGTTACTTCAAATATTTGTTATGACTTTTTTAAAAATAAAAATTTCATGAATATCCAATAAGAATTATCAATTCGGGATCTTTAAATGGGTGTAAAGTAGAGAAAGTTAATAAGATGATAAGAACAATATATCTAAATATTAAATTTTTTGGGTAAATAAAAAAGAAAATCCATGCGACAGGGCGAAAGTTTACAACACTATAAATTCACTGGTTAAAATGATTAAATTAGAAATTGACAATTAACAATTACAATTGCAAGAAATCATATGGTTTTAGACAAAAATGTTACAAATTTTAATTAAAGCCTACAAACCTAATACAATGTCACATGATTTTTTCCTACAATCAAAGTAATGATTAAATAACGATAATAGTGTATATATTAGGATCTATCTTTCGTAATAACTTAAAATATTTTTTTGTCTTAAAAAAAAAGAAAAATATTTTTAAAAGATTTAAACATAACTCAACTGGTTTAATTATGTAAAGACATGAGTTTAAATCTTCACCCTTATATGTTCTGTTAAAAAATACTTCAAATATTTTACAAAAGTATGATAATGGCCAAATATGAGTTTAAGTTATACGGGCCATCACATGTAGTTCAAAATTTTACAAGTTTGTTTGTTGTTTTTTTTTTTTTGCAACTAAATGTAGTTAGGCCAGAACTAACATGAACATATAGTCCGAGATTCAAATTTCCACCTCTACATGTTCTCGAACCAAAAAAATAGCTAAATTACAAAAAATGTTGCCATTTATTTAAAAAATATAACAATTGTTTCAAAAGTTTCCATAACCATCAACATTTCATAAACATTTAAAAAATACGTTTAAGCAAACTTTAAATATTTTGAACAAAAAAATTGAAATGACAAATCAATGTGGAACATTACAAGCTGGCCTCAATTAAGTTTACAAAAATAGTAAATATGAAATAAGCTTATTTTATTTTATTTTTATAGAGGGAATTATGGCAAAATTAAATCTGAAAATAAAGCAAAGGTAGAATAAGCGTCCACATTAATTCCAAATCCAACCATATGAATATTTTGTTCAAAATATTAGCATACTTTCCTTAAAGGTTATCTCACGATATTTATGAAATAATAGTAATAAATCGAAATTTTTGAAAGGAAAGAGATATTTTTGAAACGAATGGAAGAATTGGATTAGAGTAATATGGTTAGAGATTAGTCGAGATAAGTATAAACTACTCAACCTTTGCAATTTTCACACACATATATATATATATAAAGAAATAAATATGGAAAAGAAAATATTTAGAGATTAGGAAAATATTAGGAATTGGAAGAGAGAGAGAATGAAAAGTAAGACTCGTTCGATCTGCGATCTCCTAAAAAATCTACCTCTTTTGACCCATCTTACCAGTCAGTTTGTTACTCTCTCTCTCTCTCTCTCTCTCTCTCTCTCTAAAACTCCACAACAATACCAATACTCTTCTTCTCTTCTTTGCCTCTCCATCTTCTCCTTCTTCTTCTCTCCTCTAATGGTTTCCCATTAAAAACCCTAATATCTGCCCCCTTTCTGTTTCTCCCCTCACTCTCACTCCACAGGTTCCTTCATTCTCACTCTTGCTTTCTCTCTTGCTTGCTCCATTCGTGTGATTTTTTCTTTTGGGGTTTCTTTTTGGGCTGTTTCTGCTTTTGGGTTGATTTCGATTTTGCTGTTCTTTGTTGGGTTTGCTTTGTTTTTGCAGGGGATTGTCTGGAGAATAAATTATAATCTTTATTTATTTTTTTCTCTCGGAGAGATTAAGGGTTGGAATATATGTCCTTCAATCAATCAAGGTCCGATAAGAACGAGAGCTTCACTCAGTATCGCAAATCCGGGCGATCCACGAGCTTCAATCAGCAGCGAGGCTCATCAGGCACTCACCCTAAGCCCGGCGGCGCCGGTGGGTCCGCCCCTTCCCCGTCGATCGCTTCTAATCGTAGGTAATGAATGATCTAGGGTTTTCTTTTTTCTGTTTTTTTGGGATCAGTTTTACCCCAATTGTTGAATTATTCTTTCTGCCCTTTTGTTGTTTTAATTCGTGTATCTCGATTTCTTTGATTCTCTCACATGTTTTTTCTTTTTGGGTTCGTTTTTTTTTTTTTTGTGTGCGGTTTTGTTTAGCTTTAAGAAGACTAATAATGCTCAAGTTGGGCAATCTAGAGGAGGTCTTCCTACTGTAAATTCTACGGATTCGAGTAACGCTCCTAACCTGCGAGGTGTGCAGAATGGCGACTCCGCGCCGATTCAATCGCGTGGTATTGTTTCTAAATCATGTACCTTTCTCGATTGGCTTGTTATTTGATTCTATTCCTCTATTCTCCCGAAGGAATTTTGGGTAGTATCTGATTTTAGAGGGCAAATCGTCTAGGACAAGTTTCCATATTCATCAAGTTTTTACTTTTTGTTCGTTTTGTTTGGAGATTTTCTTTTTGGTGTGTGTACTTCTTACTGTATTGTTGCAGCAACATCTGATGCACGGGTTACAAATGCAGTTACCAAGCCTACCGAAACACCACCTACCCAGAGAAGCACCAGAGATGTTCCTAAGGCTCCAACTTCTCAACCTTCCCCCTTGAACTCTGACCCGGCCACACCCACTACTCCGGCGAAGAGTAAGTAGTTTTCACTTTGAATGTTCGTTTTTCTGAGCAATGTGAATCAACATTTTCCCTCCCTTAGCTATGTCATGATGCCTTTAATATCTTAGGTACTGGAGAGCAGACTAAGGAGTTCTCTTTCCAATTTGGGTCAATAAGTCCTGGATTCATGAATGGTATGCAGGTATAATTCCACAAACCAATACACTAAATGCAAACTTCAAATTTTATGCAGGTGCTTTTGCTCTAAATTATTTGATACTTTTATTTTTTAATAATGGAGATTCCTATTTTTTATATAGCTTCCAGTTAGGACTAGCTCAGCTCCTCCAAATTTAGATGAACAGAAACGCGACCAGGTTTGTATTATTTTCTTCTGGATTGTATTGTTTCCAGGACTGTCAATTCCTCTGCTTGATGGACGTTGCCGCAAGAATCATTTGGTAGATTGGGTTGAACCAAAAATGTATTTATCATTTGGTAGATTGGGTTGAACCAAAAAAGTATTGTTGTGTTGTCTATTGTTCTCACTCAAGGCAATGCAGCATGTAAAATCACATGCCATCTTTTTTCATGTCTCAATGTGATATTTTACGTATTGGAAAAGCCAGTTGACCGTCTAGATTTTTGTCTTGTCTGGATCTGAGATGACTGCATGTATGATTATCTAAATTGGTTATTATGATTCGATGTGCCTTACTTTTCTTCCATTAGCTTCAGGTTTAGTTTGCTAAAGCTGTATGTTATCGTTGTATATCAGGCACGCCATGAATCTTTTAGACCAGGTCCTCCAATGCCCATACCATTAGTTCCTAAGCCACAGACACAAAGGAAGGATGCTGGAGCTGGGGATCAACCAAATACCGGACAGCAGTTACAACATAAGGATGCTGGTATTATCAGCCAACCTAACACTGGTGGGGATTCTCATACAGTTCAAAAGACTAAAAAGGATGTGCACGCATCACCAAACCCTCCAACAAACCAAACTCAAAAGCCTACCACTCCAATGTCTGGAATCTCTATGACATTGCCTTACCACCAGTCACAAGTACCAGTGCCATTTGGAGGCCCCAACCAGCAGATGCAATCACAGGGCATAACCCCCAGTTCATTGCACATGTCCATTCCTGTGCCATTGCAGATTGGAAGCTCTCCTCAAGTGCAACAGCAAATGTTTGTTCCTGGTCTACATCCCCATCCAATGCAGCCACAGGGAATCATTCATCAGGGACAGAACTTGGGTTTTGCAACTCAAATAGGTTCTCAGTTGCCTCCTCAATTAAGCAACTTAGGAATAAATGTAACTTCGCAGTACCCTCAACAGCAAGGAGGGAAATTTGGTGGCCCTCGTAAGTCTGCTGTTAGAATTACTGATCCAAAGACGCATGAAGAGTTAATATTTGATAACAAGCAAACAAGTGCATATACTGATACTGGTTCTTCAGGCCCTAGGCCTCAATATAATATTCCTTCTCAAACACAGCCTCTTCCATTTGCACCAAGTCATGCAATGAACTACTATCCCAATTCTTACAATCATAATCCTTTATATTTTGCAAGCCCCAGTTCCCTTCCATTACCGAGTGGTCAAACTGCACCTAATTCTCAGCCTCACAGATTTAATTATCCAGTCAGTCAGGGCTCCCAAAATGTGCCATACATTGATCCATCAAGTATTGGTCCCCTGCATGTTAAGAAGCCTGGTGGAGGCCCATTGCATGGTATTTCAGATCCACCTAATAGAGAGCATACTCGTGATTCTCACAGTTTGCAACCCCCTGCTCCATCAGGAACAGTTCATGTTACTATCAAAATGCCTACTGATCCTTTAAGTGGCAAGGGCTCTGACTCATTGCCCAATAGATTATCTGCTACTGAAGAAGGCAAATCACAGAAACCCTTGAGCTCATCTGTAGAACTGATCCCGCCTTCTTCTCAAAGGGCATTAGATATGTCCTCTGAAAGTTCTCTACACGATTCAAAAGTTGGAAGAGAACCGTTGTTGATGAAGTCTTCACCTATAGTATCTAAACAGTTTTCGGAAGCACCTCCTGCAGTTTCACTGGATGTCCAAGATTCCAGCTCTGTGCAATCTTCATTGGCTGCTTCCTCTGAGGAGACTGAGTCAGTTGGAACTCATAATGAAGGAAGAAGGGAAAACCTGTCCAGGTCTGACTCACAAAAGAAAACAGGCAAGAAAGGATACACCCAATCACAGCATCAGGTACTGTTATGCTACTATTCTGATGACCCCTTAGTAGTCATGGCTTTTTTTTTTTTAACTTTGCTTGTTATATTATTTTGGAATGTTTTTTATCATTATTTTCAGATTAGCGGACAAGCTACATCAACATTGGGACTGCCTGGTCAAGAGCAGGATGTAACTTCTCATTCTATAGTTTCTGAAGGTGTAGAAGCTAAGACATCGATCACTCCAGTAGTTGTGGAAGGCATGTCAGGATCAGTCAGTGCTGTTACTTCTGATTCTTTAGAATCTAAGGATGCCATTTTGGCTTCTGTTCATTCTTCATCTGAAAATTCTGGTCTGGGGAATGTTGAGAACTCTGATCTCATTTCTGATAATAAGCAGGATTATTCTTCTAAAGAAAAGCATTCAGAACCTGTGCCAGCAACATATTCTGAACTTCCTATAGATGTTAAGAACTTCGAGAATCTTTCAGAACATGATGTTGCAAAACCTGTGGAGATTGCCGAGGAAACAGAAAAGGAATCCATTGTGAGCTCAACAACTGTTAGCAACGAGGTCTCTACCTCTGAAACTGCCCAAAGGGCTGTGGATGAACCTGTGAGTTGTCATGCAGGAGTTGATGTGTCTGCTTCCGTGAGTTCTAGTTCAACTGTTTCTGAAAACTCTCAAGGTGATAAGTCAATGGTTGATTCTTCTGGTAGAGATGACAATGTGAGTAGCAATGAAGTTGTTCTAAAAAAAGGTGTCAGGTCAGACCAGCCATCTGAATCAGCCCAGAATCCGGCACTTTCAGAAGGTAAACATGATGGGGACGTGTTGGATGCTGTTGGCAGTGGTGGCAATATTTCACATACAGTTTCTGGCACCAAGGATAGATCTGTTGTAGAGACGAGCAGGGTGAAGAGTACTACTGGAAAAGGGAAGAAGAAGCTTAAAGCAATCCTTCAGTTGGCAGATGCTGCAGGAACAACTTCTGACCTTTACATGGCATATAAGCGACCTGAAGAGAAGAAAGAAACAGTAATGCATCCTGAGAGCATTGAGAACAGAGAAAGTAGATCTTCCAGTGTTGACACAGAGCAATCCATCGAGGCTTCTAAAGAAGATGCTGATGTACAGTTTAAAGCTGAGCCTGATGACTGGGAAGATGCTGCTGACATTGCGACGCCTAAACTGGAAACAGCACATGGAGATAGTGTAGATGCATCAATGCTTAATGATGGAGACAGAATTGGAGATATGGCAAAGAAGTATTCTAGGGATTTTCTTCTTAAGTTCGCAGAGCAGTTTATGGACCTTCCCCACAACTTTGAAGTTACATCTGAAATAGAGTCCTTGATGAGTTCTCATGCGAATGCATCTCATCATCCTGATCGTGATTCATATCCAAGTCCAGGACGAGTAGATAGACCATCAAGTGGGGGATCACGATTGGATCGCCGTGGTAGTAATTTGATTGATGATGATAGATGGAGTAAACATCCTGGTGCTTTTGCTTCAGGACAGGATCCTCGCTTAGATCTAGCTTATGGAACTACAGGTTTTCGACCTGGTCAAGGAGCCAATTTTGGTGTTCTAAGGAACCCCCGAGCACAGACTCCTGTTCAATATGCTGGAGGAATACTTGCTGGGCCTATGCAGTCTATGGGTTCACAGGGAGGGATGCAAAGAGGTAGTTCTGATGCAGATAGGTGGCAACGAGCTACCAATTTTCAGCAGAAGGGTTTGATTCCTTCACCTCTGACCCCATTGCAGACTATGCACAGAGCGAAGAAGAAGTATGAGGTGGGTAAGGTGTCAGATGAGGAAGATGCCAAGCAAAGGCAGTTGAAGGCTATACTAAACAAGCTAACTCCCCAGAACTTTGAAAAACTCTTTGAGCAAGTAAAAGCAGTTAACATTGATAATGGTAAAACGCTGAGTGGTGTAATATCACAGATTTTTGACAAGGCTTTAATGGAGCCTACTTTCTGTGAAATGTATGCCAACTTCTGTTTTCATCTTGCTGGAGAACTGCCTGATTTAAGTGAAGACAATGAGAAGATTACTTTTAAGAGATTGTTACTGAACAAGTGTCAGGAGGAATTTGAGAGAGGTGAAAGAGAACAGGAAGAAGCCAACAAAGTGGAAGAGGAAGGTGAGGTAAAGCAGTCTGAAGAGGAAAGGGAAGAAAAACGGATTAAGGCACGAAGACGAATGCTAGGTAACATTAGATTAATAGGGGAGTTATACAAGAAGAAAATGTTGACTGAAAGAATAATGCATGAGTGCATCAAAAAGTTGCTGGGTGAATATCAGAATCCAGATGAGGAAGATGTTGAATCTTTGTGCAAGTTGATGAGCACAATTGGAGAGATGATAGATCATCCCAGAGCGAAAGACTATATGGATTCATATTTTGAGATCATGACAATGTTATCAAACAACATGAAATTATCATCTAGGGTTCGGTTCATGCTTAAAGATGCAATTGATCTGAGGAAGAACAAATGGCAGCAGAGGAGAAAAGTTGAAGGCCCAAAAAAGATTGAGGAAGTACACAGAGATGCTGCTCAAGAGCGGCAGGCTCAAACTGGTAGGTTTGGTCGTGGTCCAAGCATTAATCCTTCGGCAAGGAGGGGTGGCCCACCTATGGATTATGGTCCCCGGGGATCAGCATTGTCATCTCCAAATACTCAGCTGGGGGGTTTCCGTGGATTTCCGCATCAGGCCCGTGGATATGGTAGCAGTCAGGATGCTCGCCAAGAAGAAAGGCAGTCTTATGAAACTAGGACATTGTCCGTTACATTGCCTCAAAGAGCAAGTGGTGATGACTCTATTACATTGGGACCGCAGGGTGGCCTGGCCCGAGGAATGTCCATTAGAGGACCACAACCAAGTTCTGCTGCTCCTGCCGATATATCCCTTCTTCCAGGAGAATTGAGAAGTGCACCAACAGCTTCTTTGAATGGATATAGCTCTCCAGCAGAGCGTGCAACCTTAACTTCCAAAGAGGATCTAATTCCAAGACATATGCCAGAGAGATTTGCTGGTCCAACTTCATTCGACCATACAAGTGGCCAAGATCGTTATTCGAATTACGGGAACAAGGATTTGAGACATTCAGGACGGAGTTTTGATAGATCTCGTCCGATTTCACCTGCCACACCGTCACCAACTTCGTCTCCAAGTCTTTCTTCGGAAAAGGTATTGTTGTCTGAAGAAAAGTTGGAAGGATTGTCGTTGACAGCAATCAAGGAATTTTACAGGTATGCAGTTTCTTGAATACTTTATTGGCTTGCATAATAAAAATACTTATGGGTTTGGGTGATACTTTTAGGTTGAAGTTTTCTGGATTTTGCTACAACTATTGGTTATATGACTGAACTACTGTCTTTCAAAATCATATAAATTTAGTTAATCTGATGATGTCATTAGTTCCTAAAGATCATTTTATCTTAGGTTCTTATGTAATTCCTAAACCAGTTGGTTAGCTTCTATGAATAAAGAATAGTGTAGTTGTGACGTCGTATTTTGTGAGACCCTGAGATTCTCGATAAGACCTTCCCAATTATTTAGAGAAATCTGATGCTTCTTTACTGGCCGTGTAAGAGTATAAGTGCTTCTTCTGCTTATGTTACACTAGGTAGTTAAGTTTTTTTTTTTATAAGGAAATGAAGGAAAATATCATCTTGGGTGTTGCCAAGTGATAACCTTAAAGTAGGGCAAACTGAATGGGCTTAAAAAAATCTCATAAAAAAGGGACTTAAAAAATCTAGAATCTGTCAAAAAGTTGCTCCTATTAACATAATGCAGTTCTAGAGTCTGGAACACACCCAGACCCGACTGCTGATCCTCCTTAGTTTTGTACTTAATATAAGTCAGTCATTGTTGATTTTGTTTTGGGGACTCACATACCACAACTCATCATATCCCGGCTTCGAAATGGAGTTAAGAACCTTAGAAGGAACTCTAAAACTTAGGCTGATTTTTTATCTTCTGATCTCTGTTGGTTTAATTTTTTTGAGATAGAGATTACATCTAATTGAATGCTTCAAGTGCTTTATGTTTTATCATGACAACGATTTTTATTAGTGCACTGGACTTTTTTACCAGACAAGTTCTAACGTGCATTGTGTGATTTAAAATATCTGGGATGTTGTTTGATGTTCAATCATACGAATTTGACGTGTCGTGGAACATTATAGAAATTTATCCATGTTGCTATTCTTCTGAAAAACAAAACTCGATTTTACCTAACATAATATCTTGTCTCTGGATTATTAGAAAGGATATAATACCCTGCGTTGCTGTATCTTTTGTTTGCTTTTGCTTTCAGTGCCAGAGATGAGAAGGAAGTAGCCCTGTGCATTAAGGACTTGAATTCCCCAAGCTTCCATCCGAACATGATCAACCTCTGGGTCACGGACGCTTTCGAGCGAACAGATATGGAAAGGGATCTTTTGGCCAAACTTCTTGTTAACCTCTCCAGGTCTAATGATGGCGCAGTGAATCAAACCCATCTCGTTAAAGGGTACGATAAACACCAACAATTTGTTGGATAAAACTGGGCCATTTATAGAAGTTTTCAACATAACATTAATTTTTCTCCCCCCGTGCAGCTTTGAAGCAGTTATTAACGCTTTAGAAGACACTGTAAATGATGCTCCAAGAGCTCCAGAATATTTGGGCCGCATTCTTGCCAAGATCATCGCAGAAAGCTTGGTTTCTTTGAGAGAAGTCGGAGATCTAATCTATCAAGGTGGAGAGGAACCTGGAGCCCTTCGCCAAGCTGGGCTTGCAGCCGATGTTCTTGGCAACATCTTGAAAGCAATCAGGTCAGAGAAAGGAGAAGGCTTCCTAAACGAGATGCGGACAAATTCGAATTTGCGTTTGGAGACGTTCCGGCCCCCCGATCCCATGAAATCAAGAGTCTTAGAAGATTTTATTTAGGAGTAGTCAATCAAAATTGCTGCTGCTGTAATTTTGTTAGTTGAAATCGTGATCCCAATGCTGTTTTAGGCTGCTACTTAATTAATTTGCAGAAAAGAAATTTATATATTTTTCCTTTGTGGGTTGGGTGGAAATTTCTCATATATTGGGGTTCATCCATCATCTCACCATCTTTAACGTAATTAAATTCAACCATGTCTCTTCTGAAATTATTATAGAATAGGTTCAGTTGAGCTCCAAAAAACTTGGATGTTTTTATGCTTCCTTTCTGCTTTTTCAATCTTGTGGAGCGTTAGTTTAGTTCTTTTCTTTATGATGTATAGCAAAGTCAATAAAAGCCACGAGCTATCACGATTCATTTATCCATTTTTTTGTATTATAATGCCTCAAGTTTTTCTCCGTTTGCTTCAACTCTTGAAAACTTATAAATTGTACTGCTACTGCTACCGCCGCCGCCCTTTATTTTGATTTCTGATTCGGAGTTTGCAGCAGAAGGTCTTGTTACAGCAGATGTCATGGAACCTTCATATGGTCTCTTTCCCGAACTGGCGAAAACTCGATCTCTTTTGTTGCGGGTTTGCTTCAGAGTTCTGAGGTATTGTGAAAGTTTTTTTTTTTAGAAACTGTTGTCTGAGTCTTAGATTAAATTGATTGATTTGCTGGTGCAGCATGAAGATGAGAGATTACTGTAAATCTAAGACCTAAGTGAAGAGATGTACTTATGTTGTGTAAATGTGATTGAGTTGGCCTAGTAGTAAAAATAGTTAGTTATATATTCTCGGTTGAATACATGTTTTGGTTCCTAATATTTGAGTGCTTCTTTTTAAAGATTTAGTCGTTTTTTTTACCTGTTTGTATTTAGTTTCTCAATGGTAATGAATGTTACACAGTTGGTTGATGATAAACTTGTGTTTTTAGTGAATTGGTGAAAATTTAGAGATGAAATAATTATTAAGAGAAAAAAACTTGAAATTTTTATTAATTTCTTAGAAATTTAGAAAAAAAAAGAAATTACAAATAATTTTCTCTTCTAAATTTCTGCTAGTTCATTGGGTATTATGTCATATGAGTTTATTATCAATCAATTTTAACCTTTACCAATGGAAAGAATTAAATATAAATTTTTTAATGGACTAAATTGAAGAAAAAACATTCCAAACTAGAAATATGATAGCATACATATGAGTTGGTCTAGATTGAATCAATCATATTTTCCCCAACATGCAAACCAAACCAAAATTTAGATTTGGCAAAAAATTGACCAACCCAACTAGATATATGTATTATATTTTAAGATTTTATTCTTTGAAGATAATGATGGCCATCCTTTTAAGTGAAAAGTAAAGGTATGGGTGGAGCTCTATAATGGGATGCTAAGGCATGGGGGTGGAAACAAACATTCAAATATTCCAAAATTCCCTCTAAAGAAAGTGAAATTTGGGTTCACAAAGTTTCTTTTTTGAGTTCCTTTTCAACATCTCTTTCTTGTTGACCATAATTCTTTCTTTTTTCAACAAGTCAAATGCTTCAACTTTTATTTTGATGGCTCTGCGTTTTCGTTGATTTTTAATAAAGAAAAATAGATTTTACATAGCTTCTAATACTATAGATTCAATAAAGATAAAACGACATTTTTATTTTTGTTGTTTCCAAATATCTATATAATTTTGAGAATGTTTTAAAAAAAAGAAAAACAAAAAACATAAATAATTGTCAAACGCTTATATTTCTTAATAAAATTATAAACAAAAATTGAGAACGTTGCCAAACAAACCGTAACCCTCAATGTTCAGATTCCTACATCATTTACCATCATTATTATGTCATTACCAAGCCTCGTTTAAGTTTTTTTTTTAAAAAAGGTAAATCAACAATAAACAAAACGGATTTGTTCATAATCAAAATGAGTAGATATAAAATTATTTTGTTTAAAAATACATAACATCAAATTGGCTGATATTACGAACCATAAAGTTTACTCAACTTGTTTTGGACTCATCATTTAAGTTTTCTCAAATGATCAGTAACTGGTTCGAGAGGATGATCTGACATAGGAACTAAGACACGAACCAAATTCCTATGGAAATGGAATGTTACGTGTATTGTCCTTTCACTCAACACTATAGATATATTAGACTAACATGTGAAAAGTTGCATCATAACATGTGCAAGGCAAGATGCTACATTGCCTTCTTCATACAATCTATCCTCATGAGAGTTTGTAAGCGGTTTCCGTTCGATATCCTAAATCCTTTCAGTAGTATCGGCCATTTACCCAATTTCATCCCATCATATCAAGAGTTCAGTTTTTCAAGCTTTGCTCTAGCCATATCAAGCTTCTCTGGAAAGAGTAAAACACCCAATCAGGACCATGAAGATGGGACCAAGGAGTTGAACATAGATATCAACAAATATAAGAAGTCTCAAATTTCATAAATGTTGAAGAAAATGCTAATGTCAAGCATATAATATAGAAAAAATCACCCCACTTTCAGTAACTCATAAAGATGATTTGAATTCGTAAATAAAATTTAACATCTTTCAAATAATTCATATGTCATCTTTGTCGATATTTCTCAAGTTCCTGGATATGTATTCTCTACTTTCATGACACATTCATACTACAGTTCAGAAAAGAAGATTTTTCCTCCTCATATGGATATCAAAACATTTTACTAACAGAAATACTGACAGTTAAATACCTACAATGTGGGTGTAAATTTAAATCCATGGATGGGATTAAGAGGGAAGACATGGAACATTGGTATAGAGGCTATATGAAAGAAAATTTCTTACTCTGTTCGGAAGTTGTTGCCTTTTGAACAGTTGTGCGAAAAAATAAGTTTCCATTTTTCTGAAAGACAGCCTGCAAATTATAACAAGATTAAGAATCTGTATTAGTAAGGTTACTAGGAGAGAGGCAGTGGCTGTTCATCTTAAACCATTTGGTTATAAGTTTACTCATCCACATATCAACATTTCCAGTAATAACTTCATATATAGAAAGATTTCATATCAACTTTCAGAATCCATCCATATATAAAACTAGGTTAAATTACAAATTTAGTCCCTAAATTTTGGAGGTGGTGTCTAATAGGTCACGACTTCTAGTTTTGTGTCTATCGGACGCATTTCTTTGACTAGATTGCTGAATGCTGCAATCACCCTCCCCGAGTCAAGACTTATGGATAAAGAACTGTTATTTATAAGGAATGAACTTGTTGAGTGAACTCATCTACTGACAACTTAATCATTGTTCATAATATGGGCAGGGCAGAGTGTTCTCGCTCAAATACTTGCTTTCCTCCAATGATTTTGGAGAGAAATTCTATTCAATATCATTTTGGATGGAATAGATTTGAAATAGGTCACGAAATTTGTCCTTAAGTGGCGGTTGATTTAGAGGTTTCAAGTTCAAACTATGGGTGATTTTAATACAAAAAAAAAAAAAAAAAATTAAAAAACCTTTCATATTTCATGGAATTCAAGCTTTGAAGTGGGCATGGATACCCCTAGGTACGGGGAGTAAAGCTCTAACTCCTGATTATCAAAAAAGAAAAATAGGTCACTAAACTTTCAATTTTGTATTGTACGTAAATTTGAAAAAATGTCTAATAAATTAAGAAATTATTGAACACAAAATTAAAATCCGAGAGGCTGTTATACAATTTTAAAAGTTTATCAACCTACTAGACAAAAAATTGAGATCTTCAAAGACTAATAAGGACAACTTGAAAGTTTAATAGCTCTCTTTCCACATGATTTCTGTAAGAATATCAGTTCACATCATTGTCCTCAGTTGAGACATTTTAATTCTTCATTGGGGCTCAGGACAAATAGAGCTGTCAAAGGATAAAAAATGTTACTACTATACTAACATTCTTCTAAACAGTAAAACAGTAAATAAATCAAGCAGTTTTCATGTATAAAATAGACCATAACTCCATCGTGTGTTTCAAAAATACCTAAAATTGAATTCAAAAGAAGTCGACTTCAGTTCAGCATGAAAGAATTCACCAATTACTCGAATATTTGGATTCCACTGCACCCTAGATATTAGTGAATAAGATAGAAAGCTTCCTCCGAAATGTTAATCATGGCGAGTGATAAGCGAGCAGATTTCGCGCAATTCGAACAGTCCAATTTCTATTGCATTATTCTACTTCGAGTTTGAATTTGACAAAAGAGCGAAAGGAAATTGAGAAAGAGCAGGGTAGGGCTTACTCTGAAAGAGGAAAGATGATTGAGCTCTGCAATGGCGACCTCATGACTTCTCATCGCTTTTGCGATTTCCAGTTTCTGCTCTTCAATCGTTCTCGAAGGCGACGCCGTCGCCGCCACCGTGACAAAACCACCACCGCCAGCCATTCCCGGCGGTTCTCCACTCGACTTCTTTCTTTCTTTCGGGTCTGAAAAGTGATCTTAAAAGGGAGCGCATTCTGGGCCATTCAAACTAGGCCCAAAATTTCGGCCCATATTTTCTAATTTAACAAGACCAGCCCAATTGTTTTTATCCAATATTTTATATTTTAAAGGAATTTAGGTTTTTCTTTTTTTAAAGCTAAAAGTATTCCAAATATTAACATGTTATTATGTGGAAAAGTTTCATAAAGTTTGGCAGAAAAACACAAGAATATTGTTTGGGGTACAAACCAGATTGCTACGTGGTGGACAGCGATTCGCGGTAACGAGACGCCCCTAAATGAAGTTTCGTGCAGCTCCACCTCGGAACCCTCCGAGGTGGATGACCTCGCCATTGTCTCCAGCATTAAGCTATCAATACGTCCGAGTTCGATCTGCTCGAACCTGACAGTTCCTATCTTAACCCCTACTAACGCAATCGCCTCTCGTAACCCCTATTGGAATCTAAACCTATAAATAGAGGACCTCATTTCACCATCAGGTACGAAATTTCTCCTTGAACTTAATATTGAGTCCGAGACTTGAGCGTCGGAGATTTTACCCTTTTGTGCAGGCCTTCTCTTAGAGTCTCGGGTCGGAGTGAGGATAGAGTTTGAGCTTGACCGAAGTCTGACATTGTACAACTTCTTGCATAAACAAATGTTATTTCACATTAAAATAATCTAGCATTGGATTTAATTGGATGATAAAATAAAAAAGAAATATTTGTCGATTAAAATTAACATAAATAAAAATGAACTATATATATATATTTTTTAATTAAACAAATCCGTAAATATTTAAGATCATGTTTGATAATGTTTTATACAAATTTACGCTTTTTATGGCCTACTATAAAAGTACAAACAAACTTCTTTAATCCAATCATGTTGTTTTTGTTAATGATAGCAATTCTCTTTATCTTTTAATGATGAAAATGATTTCTCTGCATGAATTTTAAATTGATTTACAACCACAATGTTTTTTTAGGGGAAAATGCCAAGATAAAATTTTTTCAATTACTTTCGTGCTGTTTCTTGCACCAATTGAATTGACTCATAAGCATCACAAAGGTAAAGAAAACATTTCGTTGTTTATTTATTTGTTTATTTATTTTAGGTATGTAATCTAATCTTTTGACTCAAAATATTAAAAATAAAAAAGATAAAGGCAGTCGATTTAAGCTTAGTTTAACTGATTATGACACTTATCTCCGACTAAATTGAAAACACGTCACTAAAAAAAAGGTCGTGAGAGTTTAAATCCCTACCGGGTGTATAGGAAAAAAAATTAATAAAATTAGACCTAAATTGTTACGCTGGAATAAGAAATAGAGATGTGCAAGACATTCTAATCCCAACACCTCCGGAGCAATTTCCTTGATATTGAATCCACTTTCTGGAGTGGAATTTTACATATTTTCATTTTTTCTTCTTCCTATTTTTAATCAAATCCTAAAATGTGTGCATAATAATAACAATAATAACTAGAAGAAAGAGCGAGGAGATACAGCTAACAAAAATTAATAATTATAACAACAATATTAATAGCACTCCAAATACCCGCTTTTCACATACCATGTAAAATCTAACCCAATGATTTGTGGACGACACGAAGATATCTTCATTATTCAATGTGACTGCCGCGACGTGATTGTCACATCGAGAACTTTCAGATGCATGAATGTCGAAATGCCCATTTCGTAATCTCTCTCTTAGGCTGCGAAAAGTAATTTCACGGGGATGGGATCGCCACTCTCCCGTTAGTGAAATTGAAGTGAGTAACAACGACTTCTTGAGGGAGGAGATGGTATTTGATGCCGAGATTCTCGAAAACCCTTTTGAGCTCGAAAATGAGGTCTGATCTTCTGTTGTTTCTTTCCGGGAAGTTTTGATGGTTCATGGTGTGCTGCACACACAGACTCATCTTCATCCTGTCCACATTCTCAATCTCCTTCACTACCAATGAGTGCTTTGGGCTCCAATGCTTTGGTTTGCTCTCTATGTATCTGCCAAATATTTCATCAAAATCTTGGTTAATAAATTGTACCAATGCAAACTATGATAAAACAAATGGTTAAATTACCTTCTTAGACTTGAGTTTGGATGTTTATATGAGCCGCAACATGATATAACGAAAAAAAAGCACCATATAAACTCATTAACCAACTATTAAGTTCAACAGTAGTATCTTGCTTTTCTTTTTGAGGTCGGACATTCAATTTAAGTCTCATCCCTATATCTGTTGTACTAAATAATAATAATAACACTAGTAAGAAGAAGAGTAAATTACCCACTTGAGTTCAACTAGGTATAAAGCATTAGTAAAGTTGTTAGGTTGAAATAACTCACCCCGATTTTAAAAAAAAAACAATTTTTTAAAAACTTTCTTTTAGTTTTCAAAATTTCACCTAAATTTTGAAAATGTAACTATTTAGCAAAACAAAGAAGGCAAGGATATAAGTAGTATTTCTAAACTTAGTTTTTTACTTTTGGTTATCAAATGGGGCTTAAATATTAAAAATGATATATTTATAACCACGAAAATTTTACATTAACTATAGTATTGAAGTTATTGTTGGAAGATCATGTAAAATTTTCAGCCTTCCAAACCACTTTTAGAAAGAACTAAAATTTGCAATTAATTCTAAACCTAAAATGTAATGATACTGAGAAAGAGAAATTTGTATTTTGATGAAGAAAAATGGCATTGCTTACATTTGAATGGCCTTCCTGAGGGCAGTGATGCTGTCAAAAGAAGTGGAAACGTCAATGGCGAAATCCACCGTATCCGACATGTCGGGACTTCTTCTGAAATTGCTGATTGGCTTCGTCAGCAGAACAGAGTTTGGATAGTAAATCTTCTCATTGTCGAATCGCAAGAACACCGTCGACAAAATGTTCATCTCTTCAACAAACATCTTAACAAAAATAAAATCCAGCAGTAGTATTAGTATATTTAGCACTCAAATATTCCAAAAGTTCAAATATTAGGATAATAGAGCTCCTTTGGTAATGATCTTGAGGGGCAGGTAAAGGATCCATATTGAAAAGAGAATGAACTAGTTTATAATAGACATAGGCTATTCCTTGCCAATTGATTTTGAGATGGAACCATGAATATTAATATGGAGCCCAAAACGCTCGAACGAACAACCGATCTAAAAATCAGATCCATACAAGATCGATGAGTCAAAAGAGCCACGATCTTGAAGGGCATGTTATAGATAGGGCTACTCTTCTCATTGCCACTATGTTTTTTATTTCTCTTTTGAAAATATTCTCGGAATTGTATAGAAATTTTGGAAATAACAAAAACAAGTTTCTCCTGCTCCCATCCCTATTTGTTATAAAACATAAATAAAAATGTTGTTTGCTTTTAGGGCCCTGAGAAACAGAGCCTTACCAAACGGAAGTGTTGAAAAATTCTTGGTTTCTAACTGAGAGAATCAAATCTGGTTCACAACATAGTTGAAAAAATTGACAACTCATTAATTTTTATAAAAAATCTATGTTTTAGTATTTCTTTCTCTTAGTTGTCTAGTAAAGATAAGATTTTTCCTCATTGTTAAGAATGCAAGTGTTCTGTTCATATTGACTAGTTTAATCATTTATTCAAATTCTTAACAAGAAGTAGCACTTACATGGACTCCATCGATGACGCACCGATCGCCAACGTCGAAGGGATGCATAACGAAGACGAAAATGATCGACTCGAAGATCGTTTTGCAGGTGTTTTGGAACATGAATCCAACAAGGAGTAGCTGCGAGGTGACAACGACAATGACCTTGGTGGTGGCGACGCCGAGGACGAGAAGAGAGATGACAATGATGACGACGATGATGACAGCGCTGGCCAGCTTGTGGAGCTGCTGGACGGCGGTCTTGGTGTCGTTCAGAGAGTGCGCTAGTGCCTTCCGCTCGATGTAGGCATGGACCTGCACGACATGTCGGAAGTGGAATGATTTGGAAAAAGGGGGAAAATTGAAATTGTTGGAGAGATTGAAAGAATATGAGTTACGAACCACCCAGTTTCTGAAGGCGGATTTGGAAATTTTTCCTGTTTCAATGGCGCCCTCAAACAGAGGGAAAATGGTATTCACTTCTTCTACCTTTAAGAATCTTAGTAGATCTTCCTCTTCAATGTATCTGTATGAACATCAAAACAAAACAATTTCAATGCATTTTTTCATATACTTAAAATTTGCTTTTATATATATATATATATATATATATATATATATTTACAAAATGATGATTTGATGAGATTGTGAATAAAATAAAAGTTTAAATACTATTTTAGTCTGATCACTATACTTTTCAAAACGTTCATTTTGGTTCATGTACTATCAAATTTTGTTTATTTTAATTTTCGTACTTTTATAAAATCCATTTTGGTTCCTCAGCTCTTTTTTTAAAATGACTAATTTGATTCCTCATTGTAAAATGTTAACACAAATTTTGTGTCCAATGAAAATTCTTTCATACAAATCTCTGGTTATATTTTAAAAAAATTTAGTGAGGAAAAAATCGTACTAAAATTATGATGGAAAGAAATAAGATAAAAAATGAAAATGAGTAGACCAAAATGATAACTTCTTAAAAATATTGAAATCAAAATACGCGTTTTAAAAATATAAGAACTAAAAAAAATAGACATTTTAAAAATATAGGATCAAAATGAATCAGAAAATACGTGATCAAAATAAATTTAAACTAAAAAAAAAAAGACAACCAGACACGTCACAATTTACAGAGAAACTTGAACAACTAAAGAGACAACTTAACTATAACTTTATTTAATTGACCATTTTATTTAGTAAATTTCACTATAATTCATGGCAAGTCTATAATAATTCTCTAATGTTATAATATAATTTCATCAAACTATCATTTATATTTCTATTTAGTCATATCATATGTCATATCATCGTGGTTTTTGTAGGTCTTTTCAAAATAAAAATAACAATAAAGTAGTACAGAAGAATTCTATTCTACTGTTGCTTTGAAAATCCTTCCATCAAATAAATTGGATCGTAAATGCTATGTGGACCCATTCAGTTGAAGCTGGTAACTAAAATAAATAACAATAAAATTAGGAAAAAATAATTTTTGGCTCCACACCAACAACAAAAACGACTCATTATTAATAAAACTTATATATGTATTACTAATCTTAGGGTAAATTAGTAAAAATAAAGATTTGAATAATATTTTGGTCCCTTACTCATTTCCATTTTTGTATTCATTTAAGTTTTTATACTTTCAAAATATTAATTTTAGTTCATATACTCCTAAAAGTGACTAATTTAATTTTTATTTTTGTATTTTATACTCGATAGATACTGTTAATACGAATTTATGACTATATTTTAAAAAATTTAGAGAATAAATTTATCAGTAATATATCGATCTACTATGGAAAGCAAAAATATATACTTGATGTYTATTCTTTCTCATTAAATAACATGGAGTCAATTTTAGATGGAGAAGGGTAAAGAAAATAGAGAAAAAGCAAAATGTCATGCATATCCCTAGAGGGTCATAATTAGAAAAGAACAAAAAATAAAAGAATTGAAAAGAAAAGGAAATAGTTTACGCAATTGTCAAAAAGTTGCCATGGGATGTTTTAATGAAGTGGTCTTGCATCTAATCTTGAATTAAAGCTAGGAAAGAGACTAGGTAAGAGATGGAAACCCTAATCTTGAATAAATTAATATGTAATAAAATTACTTAAAAAATACTTACAATTTTAAATTAAAAACATATTAGTTTACTAATTTAAATAATATTTTGTAACTTAAAAAATTGAAAATTTGAATCTATATTTAAGTAAGTAAATTAAAATAAATGTTTGAAAGTACAAAAATTAAAAAGAAAAAATTGAAAATATATAAATCTATTTTTTTTATTGAGTGCAGAATCAAAATAATATGTAAACTTATTATTTATTAAACTAAAATACTCCAAAAAAATTTAAACAAAATACCTAAAAACGAAAATAAAATAAAATAAAATAAATGAATTTAAGGACCAATGGACACAAACATTTAACATTTGCACAGTCTTGAATGCACTTAATTTTATTTTATTTTTTGGTCAGAAAAAATCATAATTTATTGTACTGTCAAAGGACAAGGACATCATCTACATGGATGCTGTTTTAAAGCTGCTAAGATGTCTTTCCTAAACAAATGATGACGCAGAGAACTTGGATTCAGAATATTTGGGGTATATATATATTTTTTCTTTTTATTTTTTAGAGTGAATTTGTTTGATTCTAATTTATCTTGTATACTATAAAAACATTTTTAGACAATTGTTTTCAAAAATATTTTTCTATTATAAAAGTTTGTTAAAATTTCAATACTTATTCTAAAAACAGTAGAAACAATAAATAATTGAACTAAAAAATTCATCATTCAAATCCTCAGTGGAGATATATATATATATTTTTAAATTTTAGATCCACCACAACAGAAAATCCTACCATTTTGTTGTGGGGTTGTTTATTCCATTATTAGATTTATTTAAAATTTTAAAACAAAATAAACTATTTTTGAAAAAGTTTCCATATAAAAATCAATGGATGTAGGGTGGGGCCTACAGAAAAGAGTAACTTGGCTGTCCTAAACAAGGACAGTTGCTCCTATCCACATTTTCAAATACTTTTATGTTGGAGTTTGTTTGATAATTCTCGTATTTTTATTCTATAAACTCACATTTCTTAAACAAATTTTTCTAGGTCTTTTCTTTAAAATTACAAAATACGTAGTTAATATTTTTTCTAATTTTTTTTAGAATTTTAATTTGATCAAAATAAATATTTTAGGAAAGACAGGATCATTGTAATTCAGTTAAACTATTCTAAAAGGAAAAAGAAAAAAACAATATTCTATTTGAGTTGTGCCAGATTATGTTTTTAATTAAAATAATTTGGTGGGGCATGGAATTATTGATTTTTCTCTCTCTCTCTCTCTCTCTCTCTCTCTCTCTCTCTCTCTCTCTCTCTCTCAAAGTTATCAAAACCCACACTAATCCTTTCCTTACAAAACAAACAAAATAAAAGAGAGCTACATGTTTTTCGTCATGCAACAGTGTGGGACAATTTTAATCTTCCTTTACCATCACTAAAAGTTTAATAGTTTTTATTTTTTTTAAAACAAAAAAAATATTTTTCTATCTTCTTTTTTTACTTGTCAAAATTAAATGCTGCCAGCCCATTTAATTTTTGAGGTATCTTATATCTAAAATAGAAATAAATTTAGTTAGATCATTGGAAATAAAAAGAAAATAAAAAATGTAATCTTAAATTATTTAAGATCTTTATTTGGTAGAGATTTTTTATTCTTCTTAATATAACTATATCTAGTTATTCAAATTCTGGCTAAACTTTGAAAATAAAAATAAATTTTAAATATTTTTTTTACTCATAAAAGGAATTTTATACTAAATAAATAGAAAATGAGAAATAAATTATTGTCAAACAAGTATTCAAAATATTGAAAAATAGTCCATATAATATATGGAAGGAATTAAAAGCTAGTATTGTAGGTGAAAGATATTTTCATTGATTGAATAATTTAGGATAATGATCAAGTATAGCAACTAACTTTCATAATCAGACATTTTTTATTTTTCATTTGTGGGCACAACCAAAAAAAACTTTAAGGAAAAAGAAAAGAGAGAAAAAGAAAAGAATGAGATATCTTTTAAAGTCATTTAAAATGACATAAATAGAAACTTATTTTAAAGTTTTCTGATTTATTAATTAAAACAATCGACTAACAATGGAACATTTTGGTACTTGCATTAAGTATCAAACTAACATTAAAAATAATAAATAAAAAATAAAAATATATTTTTTATTTAAAAAAAATAAAAAAATGTCAAATTTTGGTTAGAGATGAAAATAAAAAAGTGCGAAGATGAGCATTATTCATCGTAAAATAAAGTATGGCGGCGGATACAAAATAATTGATGCAATGTCATTTCAAACTTTTTTATCTTTAGATTAACAAATTTCAAAGAAAATGAGATATAATCTAACAGAGCGCCTAGATACACCCAAAATTCATTTAATAATATTTTGTTCTTAAAACGGAATTCTAATCAAAATTATTTATTGGGACACAAAAATGTTATCAATTGGGATTAACACAGTTAATGCTTTGATTAATACTCACAATCCTTTCAATCCCAACATTCTTATTACCATTTATCATTTCTTATTAATTAATTAAATAATCAAAATTTTTCTTAGGAACATTATGACTTTTTAAAAAATTAATTCACAACTTAAACATAGCTAAGTTGGACCCAAAACATTTTCCGAAATTTCAAATCTCTCCCCAAATTATAATGTTATATTTTAAAATAAATAAATCAATAAAATTAAAATTATTAGTAAATACATACTTTAAATAAAAATTAAATAAAAAATGTTAAAATATTAGATATTATCGATTTGGTTCATTTTTTTCCTATACTTTTAAAATATTTGTTATGATTTATGTACTTTCGATTTTGGTTCACATAAGTCCTTGAATTTTTTCAAAATGACCATTTTGGTTACTTAATTTTATTTTTAATCTTATTTTTTTTTACCATAATTTCAACATAACACTAAAATTAATATATTTTTTAAAATGTAACAATTATTTTATACTAAATAATTTCCATTATAGGTAAAATTTGTGTTGAAATTTTATGAGGAGAAACTAACTAAAATGATATTTTTTTAGAAATACGAGGACCAAAATGAATATTTTCAGTACAAGAATTCAAATATTCAAAATTTAAAGCACCCAGCCAAAATTAATATTTTTAGAGTAAAAATCTAAAATAAATAAAGGTTTAAAGTAGTGAGATTAAAATAGAATTTTAATAAATAAATAAATAAGAAACAAACGTGGCTAATGAAGCTTAGTTATTTAAAATTTTGCCAAAATAATCATAAGATTTCAAAGAACTTTTAGAAAAGGAAAAACTAAAGAATAACAAAAACGAAATAACGGTTCTGTAAATATGAATTTAATTTGTAGAGAGAGATGAACCTGGCAGCAGGCTTGGCGACGTTCTTGAAGACTCTGTGAGCGCAGTTTCTGGCTTCCGATTCGCTGGTGATCTCCGATTCCGCGTTCGCAAAATCATCCACCGTCCTCGAGATCGTCGACAGTCCCGAC